TTTTATTAAGAAATCATATATCAACATTTCTTGAGGAAAAACCCTCTTTTTTGTTTTTAGACACAAGGTCTCACTCTGTCACCCAGGGTGGAATGCAGTAGTGCAATCATGGCTCACTACAGCCTCAAACTCCTGGGCTCAGAGGATCCTCCCACCTCAGCCTCCTAAGTAGCTAGGACTACAGGTGCGTGTCACCACACCTGGCTAATTAAAAAAAAAAAATCATACCACTGGAATGCAGTGGTATGATCTCAGCTCACTGCAACCTCCACCTCCTGAGTTCAAGCGATTCTCGTGCCTCAGCCTTCTGAGTAGCTGGGATTACAGGTGTGCGCCACCATGCTTGGCTAATTTTTATATTTTTAGTAGAGATAGGGTTTTGCCATGTTGGCCACGCTGGTCTCAAACTCCTGGCCTCAAGTGATCCATTCGCCTCGGTCTCAAAGTGCTGGGATTACAGGTGTGAGCCATTGCACCAGACCCTAATTTTAAAAGTTTTTGTAGAGATGGAGTCTTGTTATGTTACTCAGGCTGATCTTAAACTCTTGGGCTCAAGCAATCCTCCTGCCTCAGCCTCCCAAAGTGTTGGGATTACAAGTGTGAACCACTGTGCTTGGCTTTATTTTCTTTCTTTTTTGAGATAGGGTCTCACTCTGTCGCCAGGCTGGAGTGCAGTGGTGTGTTCGTGGCTCACTGCAGCCTTGACCTCCCAGGTTCAGGTGATGCTCCCATCTTAGCCTCCCGAGTAGCTCATACTACGGGTGTGCACCACTATGTGCAGCTAATTTTAAAATTTTTTGTAGAGATAAGGTTTTTCATGTTGTCCAGGCTGGTCTTGAACTCCTGGGCTCAAGGCATCTGCCCACCTCAGCCTTCCAAAGTGCTGGGACTACAGGCCCTGTGCCTGGCCTCTCAGATCTCTATTTTCATGTCAGTATTTTATCCTACAGTATTTTATAAAAGGCTTATGACTTTTATACAATTATTATAATTACAATGGATGCATACTTTTGATTTTTTTCATTTTAAAGTGAAAGGAATTTGTGATTTCATAATTACCATTTTGATGGCTGTATAATGTTCCATTCAATGACATTTTAGAGGTTTGTAAGTGGATACAGCTGATTCTAGAATAACTAAAGGAAGAAAAGAAACCACTACAGGACAATAAACATTTTCATAAAACCCATCTTCCTTTACCACGGCAGGATCATTGTAGAGTTAAGCAAGCACAGGAGCAAATGAGCCTATCAATAATTTTGTCTTTTGAAGTTTAAATACAGACAAACCAATTCTAACATGTTGCTTTTTGTCTACAATTATATACAGTTATGTTTCAATCTCGGAGAGAAAATGGGAAAATTTGAATTATATCCTAAGAAGAGCAGGGTTAAACTAGAGGAAGATAAGTTTATTTTGTTGATTCTTGAAATACAAGGACTCTCTTTGTAGATAAACCAGCAAACTAAAAACCAATACATCACCTTGATGCACATTGTTTTCTTTGAATCTTCAACAATAGATAATGAAGTCAAGGGCAAGAGGAAAGGATGCTTTTATTCATTGCCATTAAATCTTAAAAACAGACTGAAGAGCTCTAAGGTATTGAAGCAAGTTTTTCTTTTCTTTTCTTTTTAGCATTCTTTAATAATTTAATACTTTTTAAAAATTATTATTTTTTGAAACAGTATCTCACTCTGTCTCCCAAGCTGGAGTACAGTGGCATGATCTTGACTCACTGCAACCTCTGCCTCCTGGGCTCAAGTGATCCTCGTACCTCAGCCTCCCAAATAGCTGGGACTACAGGCATGCACCAGCTGATTTTCGTAGTTACGGGGTTTCGCCTTGTTGGCCAGGCTGGTCTTGAACTCCTGGGCTCAAGTGATTCCCCCTGCCTTGGCCTTCCAAAGTGCTGGGATCACAGGCATGAGCCATAGCACCCTGCTGAATTTCATGGTTTCAAAGCTTTGATTTACAAGTCATCACAAATATCCTTTAGTACAAAGAGGGCTGAAGTGGTTAATTACCTGCTTTAATTGAAGTGCTCTCATTTGTTTAAAGTTAAGCCCTGAACTGATGAGTGAGGTAAACTGTCAAATAAGATGAAAATGAGTTTTCTGGAACTGTAGGTTTCAGTTTCTGTAGGAAACATAACTAGAAGCAAAAGGTGAAATGGCTCCATCAGAGCTCATGACTAAGCCAAGGACATTTTTTTAAGCTCTTTGATCTAGTGAAATCAGTTGATTTAATGAAATCTAATAAGATCTGCTGAAATCAGTTCTTCAGCTCAGGCAAGCTAAAAGTCTCTTGCCACCAACAAAGATGTCTCCAGTTTGGTGACACCTAAATCAATTGATCAGGAAGCTAAGGACACTAGGGCTGCAAGACTCCTTTGGATTAATTTAATAAACATGTATTGAGATCCTACTTTGTGCAAGACAAAATACCACATACGGCTTCCTTTATTTATTTATTTATTTATTTATTTACTGAGTCATAGTCTCGCTGTGTCGTCCAGGCTGCAGTGCAGTGGGTGAGATCTCTGTTCACTGCAGCCTCCGACTTCTGGGTTTCCAGCTATTCTCTTGCTTCAGCCTCCTGAGTAGCTGGGATTATAGGCATGCACCACCATGCCTGGTTCATTTTGTATTTTTAGTAGAGACAGGGTTTCACCATGTTGGCCAGGTTGATCTTGAACGCCTGACCTCAAGTGATCTGCCTTGGCCTCCCAAAGTGCTGGGATTACATCCTTATTTAATAAGGCATCCATTGCTTTCAGACCAGACTTGGCTCTTTGCATGGATCCTGCTGGCAGTTTCCTGTATGTTCCTATCCAGTGAGAAGCTGTTTTTGGCTTCACACCAGGCTGTAGGGGCCAGATAGTGATGTCAGATCTATCCAGAGCACCAGTCAACTTAAGGCAGCTTCCTGGGCTAAGGGGCTGGGGCTTTCTCTGTGGAGGGGGAGACAGGAGGAGAAAAGGGAATGGATGGTAAGGAGAGATGTATGTCTCTGAATCACGTGGAGACTCTGAAAGTGCTGACCACCTTCTACACACCACATTCACATACAATCCTTCGTTAATAATCATAACAACTGTATGAAGCACATGGTATTGTTTAACTGCATTTTACAGATAAGGAGACTGGCTAGTGACCTACCCAAGGTCACAGAGTAAGTGGTGGCCATGGGATTTGAATTTCCTCTCTAGGTCTTTTTTTTAAATTAATTTTTTTAAAACAGTTTCGCTCTTGTTGCCCAGGCTGGAGTGCAATGGCCTGATCTTGGCTCCCTCCAACCTCCAACCTCCCAGGTTCAAGCGATTCTCCTGCCTCAGTCTCCCGAGTAGCTGAGATTACAGGTATGTGCCACCACGCCCAGCTAATTTTGTATTTTTAGTAGAGATGGGGTTTCCTCCATGTTGGTCAAGCTGGTCTCCAACTCTCGACCTCAGGTGATCCGCCCGCCTTGGCCTCTCAAAGTGCTGCGATTACAGGCATGAGCCACCGCACCCGGTCTCCTCTCTGGGTCTTTAAAAGCCTTCCACCTCACGCCTGTAATTCCAGCACTCTGGGAGGCCGAGATGGGCGGATCATGAGGTCAAGAGATCAAGACCACCCTGGCCAACATGGTGAAATCCCCGTCTCTACTAAAAATACAAAAATTAGCCGGGCGTGGCGGCACGCACCTGTAATCCCAGCTACTTGGGAAGCTGAGGCAGGAGATTTGCCTGAACGCGGGAGGCGGAGGTTGCAGTGAGCCGAGATCGAGTCACTGCACTCCAGCCTGGGCAACAGAGCGAGACTTCGTCTCAAAAAAACAAAACAAAACAAAAGTCTTCCACCACCGCGCACAGGGACCCAGTAGGATTTCAGGTCCAGAGTGAATCATACTATGCTCTCCACTCCCACATTTTTACACAACGAAATCTGTCTAGCATGTACAACTAATAAAAATAGTACAGGGAAAAGAGGTAATGGATAGGCAATTTATAGCCAGAGAGGTGGGAGTGTAGGTTTTGGGTCCACCATTTTTTATTTTCTTGATGAGGAGCCCTTTAGGCCATTTTAGAACTAGTGTCACTGCCTGCCTTCCTGGGTCTTTGCCACACCAAAGACTTGTTTCCTCCACTAGACAAAAACATGGATGGCTGGCCCAGTTCTGTCTCAAACAATGATCGTGTAGAATCAAATAAGGCCCTCTGTAAACTATAGCATTTTACAGACTGGTAAGGTAGCAGCCATCTTTCCAAGGTATCAGGGAACAGCGAAGCAGCTGATTAAAATAGTCTTGATTACTTGAGATACAGGAGGGTAGGAATAACATGTGGTAACTGAACTCCATAGATACTATCTAAAACCGCATTCTAACAGGCAAATTTAATCTTTCTGAGATTTGCCTCTTTGTAGAGCTCTAAAAAATAAGAAAAGGAGAGGGGTGTAAAATGCCACTTAAGATTAAATTTCTTCTCCTTTTGAGCCCTGTCCATAGGTAGATGGAATTAGGGCAGAACAAAAACATTAAGAATAAAAGCCCGAAGGAGAGGCGCGTACATGTGAATACAAGTGAATACTGGGGTAAGGAAATGAGTTATGCGGAACAGGCTTCAGACCATCCCTGGGAACTGTTCCGGGTCCGGACATTTCCTTTGGCAACCTTCCAGAGTCTTAGTCCCCAGGGCTCCCCCCGGCGGGAAGGGAAAGGCGCGCGTGGCTAGGCGCGCGCGTACACGGGCACTCACGTGTACACACACACGCGCCCACACTACACATACACACACTGCCCATTTCCTCCGCTCCCTCCCCGCGGGGGGCGGGTCTCTTTCTCTTTAAAGAGCAGACGGTCTCCGCGCACACCCAGGCTCTCAAGGCCTCGGGGGCCCGGGACCCGAGCTGCTCGTAGCCAATGGGAGCGGTAGAGCGGCTCGAGCGCGGCTGACGCTGCACCAATGGGCGATCGTGGGGGGCGGGGGCAGCGGAGGAGACACTATTGTTGATGAGGAGAGGCGGCGGCGGCGGCGGCTGCACCACCTCGTTGCTGCCGGTCCCGGCCCGGTCGCCCCCTGCACCCCGGAGTCCAGCTTCGTCACCCCGCGCGGGGGCCTGCCCTCCGGCCTCGAGAATCCTCCCCCTGCAGCCCAACAACAAAACCCCCCGTCTCGCCCAGTCACCGGGGAGGGGGGGACCATGTCCCAGCGGGTGAGGCGCAATGGGTCCCCCACGCCGGCCGGCTCCCTTGGGGGTGGTGCGGTCGCCACGGCCGGGGGACCCGGGAGCCGCTTGCAGCCCATGAGGGCGACGGTTCCGTTCCAGCTGAAGCAGCAGCAGCAACATGGCAGCCCCACGCGGAGCGGCGGCGGCGGCGGCGGCGGCAACAACAACGGTGGCTGCTGTGGTGGCGCCTCAGGCCCCGCAGGCGGCGGCGGCGGCGGCGGCCCGCGCACCGCCTCGCGCAGCACCAGCCCCACGCGCGGCGGCGGGAACGCGGCCGCGCGCACCAGCCCCACGGTGGCCACGCAGACGGGCGCGTCCGCGACGTCCACGCGAGGCACCAGCCCCACGCGCGGCGCCGCGCCTGGAGCTCGCGGGAGCCCCCCACGGCCGCCGCCGCCGCCGCCGTTGCTGGGCACCGTGTCGTCGCCCAGCTCGTCGCCCACCCACCTGTGGACCGGCGAGGTGAGCGCGGCCCCACCCCCAGCCCGCGTCCGGCATCGGAGGAGGTCTCCGGAGCAGAGCCGAAGCTCGCCGGAGAAGAGGAGCCCTAGCGCCCCGGTTTGCAAAGCAGGTAAGTGCTGGGGGTCGCGCAGCGAGGGGGAGGCGGCGGCGGGAAGGAGTCCCGGGCGCGCGCTGCAATCGCGCGGGGAATGCAGCGCTGCCGCGGAGCCCGGGTGGCTGGGGGCGGGGCTGGGGGCGGTGTCGGGCGGTGGGGACCGGGCAGTGCGGCCCCGCCTTTCCCGGGCCTACCCTGCGCCCCGCCCGCCCGTCTCATTCATTCCTCTGCCCGCCCCGCGCGGCTCCCTGGCGGTGGAGGTGCAGTGGCTAAACCTTGGGCTTGAGCTGATGAGTGTTAATGATAACCCTGGCGTCCTGGCCGTATTCCTGGAGGAATCGTTACTGCTTACCCTCCTTTGAGGGTGAGGCTAGGAGTGGTTTATCACTTTGTTTTAGGCACAAGGTTAATGTTGGCATAGCCCGTATCTGCTGCTGCTAAGTATTTCTGTTCACAAAACAGTTTCAGATCTGGGGTACTGAATGCATTAGCAGTGGCAGATTTGGATCACTGAACAGACGAGGCTGAGACCCGTGTTTTAGCATTTTCCAAGACTTTGATAAATGGGTAGCAAGACGTGAGAATTAAGCAAGATTCCTTAGGAAGGTTTATGGGTTTTGTCTGAGGCTCTGGGTGTATTTCTGATTTTGTGTACTGATTCTGTTGTTTGAATGTAGAAAAACAGAATCCAGTGTTTGTCTCCATCTTGTTATTGTTTTAGGGAGCTAACATTCGTTGTTTTTCTGTTTACCTGGAAGCTTTCTTGGGGAAAGTCGTGAATGGAGCTGTGGGTGCCATTGGAGTCATTCATAAAGTGTAACTCAAAAGAAAAATTCAAATTGTGGGAAGTGGAAAGGAATAAAATTTATCATCTTGTTGCCTTGAGAAAATAAATATGTGGTTTTTAATTATGTATTCATTTTTGTCAACATATATCTTTGTCTTTCCCTTACTGGGATAGTTCTGTTAGAATCTTCCAGGCAGAATGGTTGGGAATTTCAGGAAACAAATTCAGATGAAATAGTTTCCGAAATGGAAGGAATAGGATGACTCTTTCTTACTGTTTATGAAAAGTTTTAGATAATACTTTTTTTAGAGATAATTGCCCTAGAAAATGATTAATAGTGTTTTCTTTTTTTGAGGTAGAATCTCTGTCACCCAGGCTGGAGTACAGTTATGCGATCTTGGCTTACTGCAACCTCTAACTCCCGGGTTCAAACGATTCTGCCTCAGCTTCCTAAGTAGCTGGGGTTACAGGCGACCGCCACCATAACCGGCTAATTTTTAGTAGAGACAGGGTTTCACCATGTTGGCCAGGCTGGTCTCGAACTCCTGACTTCAGGTGATCCGCCCGCCTCGGCTTCCCAAAATGCTGGGATTACAGGCGTGTGCCTCCGCGCGCTGCCCGAATAGTGCTTTCTAATTAGAACTAGAGCACTGTTTTATTTATTTGTATTTATATTTTTATTTATTTTTTGAGACGGAGTCTTGCTCAGCCGCCCAAACTGGAGTGCAGTTATGTGATCTCGGCTCACTGCAACCACTGTCACCCGGGTTCAAGCGATTCTCCTGTCTCAGCCTCCCGAGTAGCTGGCATTACAGGCACCCGCCATCATGCCCGGCTAATTTTTGTATTTTAGTAGAGACAGGGTTTCACCATGTTGGCCAGGCTGATTTGGAACTCTTTACCTCAGGTGATCTGCCTGCCTCGGCCTCCCGAAGTGCTAGGATTGCCCGGTCCAGAGCACTATTTTAAATCTTTTGAGAATGCAGAATGCTTTTCTAAAACTGTGATAAAAGTATTAGACTTCACCTCCCCGCTTCATAACCTCTGTCACCTGATGAACTCTTACTATGTGTCAGGTAGTTTTTATGCAAAATCTCATTTAACCTTCACTATGGCTTTTAGAGAGGTTAAGTAACAAGTTGCAGAGCTGGTATTTATTTGAACTTTGGTCAGTTGTGCTCCAAAGACCATGTCTTTATATTATATTAAGGAAGTGACATCATGATGTGTAAGATAGAATGTGGGAAATATATAGCAGGCCAAAATTACATGTACTTAGTTAAGTAAATTTTTTTTTTTTTTTTGAGACGAGGTCTCACTCTGTCATCCAGGCTGGAGTGCAGTGACGTGATCTTGGCTCACCGCAACCCCTACCTCCCGGGTTCAAGCGATGCTCCTGCCTCAGCCTCCCGAGTAGCAGGGATTACAGGCATGTGCTACCATGACCGGCTAATTTTGTATTTTTAGTAGAGACGGGGTTTCTCCATGTTGTTCAGCCTGGTCTTGAACTCCCGACCTCAAGATCTGCCGACCTTGGCTTCCCCAAAGTACTGGGTTTACAGGCATGAGCCACTGCGCCCAGCCACTAGTTAAGTAACTCTTACAGATATGAACAAAACTGCTTTAGTCCTTCAGCCTTCTGGAGCCAGCATAGTGCATCAGGTGGAAGGGAAGGAGAACTGCTTATAAATGGGCAGTAGAGGTGGCAGAAGGAGGCACAGCCTGTAGTCTTAACAGAATCTGGCTCTCTTAACAACTGTTTGACACTCAGAGAAACACCCTGAGGAGAACTGGGTTGAATTAATTATTGGCAACGTGTGGAGGAAGGTACTCTTTTTCTCTGATCTCTAGGAGGGCTCTATTTCCTGGGATGTCAGGCTACTCCCATGCCCTCTCTTCATGGTTTTGAATGCTCCCCTTCCCTAGATCATCCCTTAGAGTATTTGCTGTAAAATTATCCCCATTTGCTCCCCCACCAAAACTAAACTAAAATAAAATAAATCCAGAAAAATAAAAACTCTTATTTCTCAAAGTGTAGTCTGTGGTTCATCTGTATCAGAATTAGGGTGTGTGGTATAATAAAAAATAATTTGCCAGGTGCGGTGGCTCACACTTGTAATCCCAGCGCTTTGGGAGGCCGAGGCGGGTGTATCACCTGAGGTCAGGTTTAATACCTGTGTTCCGCCAACTAGAAAAATAAAACCTCTTATTTTTCTAGTGCAGCACTTTCACCAACGTGTGAGAAATATTGTCTTTTACTAAGTCATACTGTAGTGTGAATGTCTCCTAGTTTCCTTCCCAGGAATTGTTGTTTCACTGTAGTAAATACCCATGCAGAGTAGAACAAAGTGTTTTCAAATTTCAAGTGTTCATAACACACACAAAACTACGATGCAATCATTTGCTGTTTTTGTATGACTAAATCTGGAAGGAAAGTCTTTGTAAACTTCAGACTCCCTTTTTCATTAAAGGGAGGCTACCACCAGTTTGCAGCTGTGATGAATGTAAAAATCCCTTCTGTAAAGGGTAAGGGTCTACCATATAGTTCTATAAATCTCATAGGACTCAAATTTCAGGGTCCATCTAGATCAGGCTGTTGACTTCTAGGTGTCTTATCAGATGAACTGGATGCTCTAACCTTTGTTAGGGATCTAGTGTCTCAGAGTCCCTAAGTCAAAGGTATCAAGATCCCTACCCAGTTGCTTTATTCTTCTGGAGTTAGAGCTAATTGGCTGATGCAGAACTTCCTACTCTTGACTACTATAAAGTAATCCAAGCACCCCTCCCTGACAGATATTTTAAACTTCCCACCTTCAGTGACTGTCATCTCTATAGCAAAGCCGTTTGTCTTTAGGAACTAAGGTATGTTTAGAAAAGGTATCTAGGCAACAGTGTTAATCAGAAAGTTTATTTTTGTGCTTTCTCTCCTTTTACCCCACTTTGTTTTGTTTATTAAAACATCAAATAGATTACAAATGGAGAGATGGTATAACGTAGAGGTTAGGAGGATATACTTTGTGTAGACAGGGTTTAATACCTGTGTTCTGCCAACTAGAAGCCATGTGATATGGAAAGTTATCTTTCTTATCTGTGAAATGGGTGGTGAAATCTACTTCATATGATAGTAGGGATTAAATAAGGGAAAACTGAAAAACAGCACAGTACCTCAGTATAAAAGTTAACTGTTGTGTATCATACTAGTTTTGCTTCTGATTTTACTGTATTTAACATAAAGTGCCAGTGTAGGTTCAGTTTTCAGGGTTGTATGAAATTTCAAATTGGTAATAACATTGCCTGTGAATATCCAGAATGGTGTTTCTCAAAGTGTAGTCTGTGGTGCATCTGTATCAGAATTACTTAGGGTGTGTGGTATAATAAAAAAAAGTTTGGCCAGGCGCGGTGGCTCATACCTGTAATCCCAGCGTTTTGGGGGGGCTGAGGTGGGTGGATCACCTGAGGTCAGGAGTTCGAGACCAGCCTGCCCAATGTGGCGAAACCCCGTCTCTACTAAAATTACAAAAAATTAGACGGACGTGGTGGCAGGCGCCTGTAATCCCAGCTGCTGGGGAGGCAGAGGCAGGAGAATCACTTGAACTCAGGAGGCGGAGTTTGCAGTGAGCCGAGATCGTGCCACTGCATTCCAGCATGGGCAACAAGAGTGAAACTCTGTCTCAACAACAACAACAACAACAACCACAACCACTATATGTATATATATACACCAAGTTGTGTTCTTGCTAGTTTTCCCTTCCTTTGGCTATATTAAGTTGTGTATAAGTTTGGTTGTTTATTGGAATTGGGGAGTGCCAAGGGCAGCAAAAAGAGATAACTTCTTTGGACTAATAGGCAGAATCAAGAAGTAAGGTACCAGAATTTCATATTTGTGTCATCTTTGATGTCTACTTTCTAGTACCTTATGAAATACATCTCTAAGAATTTAGTGTTTCTCTAACATTTGGAGGATTGCTGCTAACATTACACATTCAAGGGAATTTTTTTTTTTTTTCTTTTAGAGACAGGGTCTCTGTCACCCAGGCTGGAGTGCAGTGGCATGATCTCGGCTCACTGCAACCTCTGTCTCCTGGGCTCAGGTGATTCTCCTACCTTAGCTTCTCGAGTAGCTAGGACTACAGGTACATGCCACCATGTCCGGCTTATTTTCTGTATTTTGGGTAGAGACTGGGTTTTACCATGTTGCCCAGGGTGCTCTCCAACTCCTGAGCTCAAG